CAGAAATATTTTCATTAATAAATAAAATACAATAAATAAATACAATAAAGCTTGTATGCTGTGAAAAAAAAAACCTTATAAAACTAAAATTAAGTGTTCCTTCCTTGGCTTTGCACACATAACAATGACGCTAGCCAAACCGGTTAAGAAACAAAAATCATTCTCAGCAGCTGCACCTTTTACGAAAAAAGTGTGAAACTGAAAAGTGCGTAGAATTATTCAATCACACACTTTTTTGAGTATCGATACTTTTGACAACCCTACTACCTGCTCACACTATACGTTCCAAAAACCACCAGTCAGACTCCAAGAGATGGCGCTGGTCGAACTTGTCAATCTGGAAGAAGAAGAACTTCCTTGTTTGCACATGCTCAGTGCTTCGAGGTTCTGGTAAATCAGCTCTTAGCTCTGCTTCAACAGCAGGAAGTGCCCACCACCACCTTACGACGGCTGACTGAATTTCAAACATGTCCGATTTTCTCCCATCCTTACGATTCCTTATGCGGAGGTGGTCGTTAGAAGCTGATCGCCCCTCGTTACCCCGTGTATAGGCTGAAACTTGGCTCATCAACTGAAGAATCGGCCCGAAAAGGGCAAAAACCCCTACAACGTTTGGAGTTCTGTCAGACCAGCATACCCATAGTCAATTCCCGCTTACCCCTTTAGCTTTGTATGAAAAATATACTTTAAACTACCTCAACGGGCGTGTTTCCCTTTAGTCATGTACAGAAAAACAATATAATTACTTACTGACCTTAAATTGCTTTTATTTGTACATGGCTAAAGGGATACACGCCTGTTGAGGTAGTTTAAAGTCTATTTTTGTACAAATCTAAAGGGATAAATGCAAATCTGACGTCTTGCGGATGCGTATTGATTATAGGTATGCTGATCTGACAGAACACCGGCTTAACTAAATCCTTCTCCATCTGTCTTTTTCTATCATGTTCCAAATGTTTAGCGTAATGCCCTCCGCTTCTCTATCACCAAATCCTCCCTTTCTGAGTTCAGCTTCTGAACTAGCTGCCTTTTGAGATGTTACGCTGCTCCTCCATGCAGCGTGGCTGAATGGGCCTGTTTAGAACAAGGCGTTTATCCAGAGTTTATATTTAACAAATTGAACCACAGAACCTTAATCCTGGATCCTTGGAGCGAGTTAATAAGGGAGATAATCCTGGACTAGACTCCAGATCCATGTTAGCATGCCCACGCTCTGGCATTACAAAAACCAGTAAAGTTCTGCCTCAGAATAAACCGAGGCGGCCTCTAGTGGGCGGCTAAGGTTACAGCACTGTAAAAAGTTTCTTCTAAACAACGTTATCAGTGAATTGGATTCAAATAAACAATAATATAATCCATCAAACTACAGTTAATCGTAAATTTATTTTTTTAACGTCCCTAAAACCGATCATTAATCTTCTACACAAGCATGTTTTCCTATAAAAATACAATTATTGTTATAGATAATCACGCTTTTCCAACTGTGCATTAATAACATGGATTCGCAGGCTGTGCCGTGTTAATGTACCTCTCCTGTTGCCAAGGCGACAAAGTTGTTGACAGTAAGAGGGACGACCTCTCCAAACAGACCGATGACGATGCGGCCCACCTCGTGACCTCCCACTGTGATGTCGAAAAACACCTGGAGACAGAAAACATCTGGGTTTACTGACAAACAAAGATCTGAGAGAAAATCAGGAAAATTAACATCGTTTAAACGGATTTTTTAGGTTTTTACTGGTCGTTTATGATGGAAACTGTTCCTATAGGCCTTAGAACTATCCCACAGAACACCAGCAGGGATTTAGACTCCGCCCACTTTTTTAAATAGGATATTCCAGTAAAACATAATAAGAAGGAAAATTTAAACTTGAATTTAATCTAATTAATTAGTCTTTATTAAATCATCACAAACAACAAAACCTCCCTAAAGCAGTAATCTGCATCCTAAACAATTTAGATTTTAAAAACAAATAAGTGAAACAATAAAACACATAAGTGAGGCGCTGGTTACGCTAGCAGCCTGTTGCATCGCTCCGCGCACTCTTTCAAATATTTTGAATATTTTCATGTGTAATTTTCCATTTTTATTATAAAATAAATAAGCCTCTATAAGCCTGAAACTCAACGCTATTTCTGACATTTTGAATTGAAAAAGCTTCCTGGATGAAAAGTGTCTTTAAACTTGGAAGCAAAGTCCAGTGGATCGATTTTAAACTTTTTTTGGAAAAAGTTCAGGAAATAGAGACAAAAATGAACAGAAAGATTAATCAAAAGTTAAAAACTGATGTTTTACTGTGTTGGTTGTTTCTTTAGGTAACTAATATGCAAATATTTGAAAAAAGATGATAAATTAGAAGGTTGAAAGTTCCTGGTTTGATCCGAACTCTGAGTCCCTGAGCAGGAACTTTTTTTTAAACATGTTTTTTTTTCTCCCACACTCATTACATCTGATCACTGCAGCACTTTAAGATGTGGAAATGTCATGAAAACACACTCTGTGTGTCCAAAATGACAAAATTTGTCTAAGTCTAAGTAAGGCTCTTAAAGCTGAGCAGATCATGAATTATAACAGAAGGAGTTTTGGATTTAAAGGGAAGTGAAATCTGTTCTGTGTCTCAAAACCAGTTTGTTTTTAAAAATACTTTGAGACAAAAACAGATTTCTTTAAAAAACTATTTAATAAAATTTTTTGCACGTAAGCTTGCATGCAGGACCACTAAAGCCGGGCAAACACTGTACGATTTTTTCAATCGTTGCACGCAGCTACAGCTCACACTATACGACGAAACCACAGGGTTTAAAAGTTCACAGCTCACGATGTTTGTGCTCACGCTGTGCGACCCGACGCTCTGATGCGATCTACCTGCTCGTACTGTACGTCTAAAAACCAGGTGGGACTCAGCGCCGCAGTGAGATGGCGCTACTCGGACTCGTCTATCCAGTAGCCAAATGAGTAGAAGAGGAACATGAAGCTCACTAGAGTGAAACGCGCTGCCTTGGCTATTTGACCAATTTTGTGCTTAAAGCCCTAAAAAGAAAAGGAGACGACGTATTTGGACAAAGACATGGCTGAGCAAACATGGCTACTACAGTCTAACGATTTTACAGAAAGAACTCCATTTCACTCATTGCACCCCCGCCATGCTGCTGGGCTTACATCTGAGAGGAAGAAGAAGAAGAATCCTTGTTTTTGCATGGGCACTGAGCCATTTGCCCACGAACACCTTACGACGGCCGACTGAATTTCAAACATGTTTGATTTTCTCCCGACATTACGATTCCTGATGGGGAGGCGGTCGTTAGCGGCTGATTGCCCCTCGTTACCCCCTGTACACTACACAACGTAAATCAGGCTTAAAGTTCGTCCGATCAAAAAATTCCCGCACAACTGGAGAATCGGCCTGACGAGGGCGAAAAATCGCACAGTGTATGTAATTTTTTTAAGTCTCAAAAAAAAATTTGAGCAAAATTTATGGCCCAAATTTAACTCCATACAGCCCATCTCCAGGGGTCATGGAGCAGCAGGTTGAGTACACCATCGCAGCTCTCTAGTCCATCGCAGAGACACGTACTCCAACATGAGCCCAACAGTTATGCTTGTTGACCGTGGGAGGAAGCTGGAGTACCCAGAGAGAGCACGGCTATGCCCCGGAGAACCTGCTAACTCCAGCGATACCAGCAGCTTTACCACGCAGCCTGGCTGGGAGGAGACCCGGGTTATCATGTCCACATATGGAGTAATGATGATGATGATGATGATGATGATGATGATGATGTGAGATCCCATCATGGTCACCAGTTCTCTATCTGGATGAACCTGCTGAGATCAGACTGTCTGGTTTTCCTTACTTTAAGTCAGTTTCTTTTTTTTATGTCTGGCTTAACCCCAGACTGCTCCCTGGGTGCCGCACAATGGCAGCCCACTGCTCCCCCAGGGGATGGGTTGGATGCAGATAAAGCATTTTTCCATTTTGTGAAAATAAAGGATTTAATTTACATCTAAATCACATCTGACATGACAGCGAACCTTACAGACCAAACTTCCTCCATATTCTGAGGATCAGTTCATTTAAAAACATTTCCTAACCTCTCATTAATTCTATATTTGCTCACATGGGGGGACCTGGTGTGGGTCCCAGCCCAGGGGCCCCATCCTCCTGAGTTCAGCCCTGTCTGCTGGTTTGATCCCAGTTTAGGTCTGGAGTTGGTTTGCTTCTCTGCATAATCTGGATCAGTTCATTGACCCGTTCCTTCCTGCAGAGGCTCCATGCTCCTTCATACAGATCAGCGGTGTGCGCGTGGACGCCCCGCGGGCAGACGCAGTGCGCATTGGGTCTAATCTGGAAGGACACGTGTACAGCTGGGTGTCTGTGAGCGTGGGCAGCGCCAGATGTTCTGGAAGGATCCGCAGATCCACGCGGAGTCTCTCCTACATGTTCGCTTCCGTCGCTGCAGATGCGGGACGTCCGCTTCACCTGTGTGCCCGCGCGCCATCCTGTGCGCGTGTGCATTTGGCACGCGGAGCTTCCGCGGGCACGCGCGGCTCAGCCGTGCGTTAAAACCGTGAGCGGATGCGGGATAATAAAACCATCACCAACCTTCTCGGTGACCTTCGGTCCCCGCCGTGAAAACGCGCCGGACACCGACTGCAGGCAGGCGGCGGAGATGCAGAGCAGAGCCGGGAGGACGGAGCGGAGCTCCATGGTTCCACCAGCAGAGAGGAAACACGGAGAGGAGCAGGAGGAGGAGCAGGAGGAGGAGATCCCAACCCGGACCCCCCCCGCACACACACACACCGGATTAAAGAACCGCCCATTTAGGAGAAGAAATATTATGAAACATTTCTATTATAATTAATAATATATCTTCATTATACCCTAACTACTTCATAATAGAGAGATAATATATATTATGACGTAGTTCCCTTCTATAATTACATCTCCACCATAATAATAACATAATGTCTCATTATTATTATAATTAAAAACCATCTTAAGGTAATGAAATATCTAAACCATTTTATTTTCATTTCTATTTTCCAGATATTTGCTTCATTAATCTTCTCAGATGCTTCATGATTTTTTGTTTGCAGGAAAACAACAAAGAAATGATTTCTGTGTTCAGCCAGTTGGACATGAACAAAAACAGCTTTCCTTATATTATTCATTACATTTATTAATGGAAGCTGTTCCTGATGGGAAAGTCAAGAGAACAACAAACAGATCTTCATCTTTCATTCATTTTCTCTAACTGCTTATCCTTGCAGGGGGTCTGGGGGGCCAAGGGCCCATGCAGCTACTATGGGGCCATAACGTTTATTCAAGACAATTGTTTTTGAAATCTAAAAAAATTCGATTTCCAAAAAATATATGTATATAATAAAATTTGAAAATTGAAAAATGTTCTAAACTCATTTTCAGATTTATATATATATTTTTTTACTTTCAAACTGCCCCCCTTGGCGTAGGAGGCGGGGCTTAGATGAGGCGATGTAGAATATTGACTCCCAGCTATGATGACTGGGCATAAGTATTCCTTCTGAAATTTTTATAAAAATGTTGCTGAATAAAATCTTTTTTCAGTTTTATGTATTATTTTTTTTAGGTCAACATTTATGGCCCAAATTTAACTCCATACAGCCCATCTCCAGGGGTCATGGAGCAGCAGGTTGAGTACACCATCACAGCTCTCTAGTCCATCGCAGAGACACGTACTCCAACATGAGCCCAACAGTTATGCTTGTTGACCGTGGGAGGAAGCTGGAGTACCCAGAGAGAGCACGGCTATGCCCCGGAGAACCTGCTAACTCCAGCGATACCAGCAGCTTTACCACTCAGCCTGGCTGGGAGGAGACCCAGGTTATCTTGTCCACATATGGAGTAATGATGATGATGATGATGATGATGATCTGTCATGATAAACCTGCTGAGATCAGACTGTCTGGTTTTCCTCACTTTGTTTAAGTCAGTTTTTGTTTAAGCTGCTTAACTTATATTTATTCTAATTTATCCGCTCATCCTTTTCCATCAGACACATAATGTGCTGCAAATGTTAAATATCCTAAAATATAATAAATAATGTATATTTGGTCCCTATTAGTCCCAGTAGAACCACCAACAATCCGGTCAAAGTTCAATGTTAACATTTCTGAAAACGCCACCTAGTGGCCAGAATAGGTATGGCTGCATTTGAACCTTTCTTCTCTGGTTTATTTATTTATTTTTTAGCCAAAACATTGAAATGATTCCCAGTAGCTGTTCAGGCTGTTTATGCAGCGCGGTTCTGTCCTCTGAGGCTCAGGCCTCCCAAACATCCTCGTCCTTAAATTCGGCTCCTGTTTTTTTAGTCAGAGCCAAATAGAAATCCTCCACTAATGATCTCTGGTGCCTTTTCTTCCACTGATTAAATGCATCCACATCGTTAAAGGCTTCAGGTCCTGATGCTGCAGCTTGAGGAAGCAAATTATTGGTGATATCAGCTTTTTATCCGAGTCTGTTTACAGATATTTCATAACTGAACCACTAAATAATAATGCTTTAGTGTTTCTACGTGTTAGAGAACAAAAAAAAGAAAGCAATATTAAAAAACATCCTTTTCCGGCAGTGTCTCGTTCTGCTGTAAACCAGAGTGATTAACTGAATATGGAATGGAGAAAAAAACAAAGCCTGCAGCTCAACATCTTTTAATTTTCTTTCCTGACTGACAAATAAATGCATTTTTCAGTGTGATCAATATTCATCTGCTGTTTTTTATACATTAAAGGGAAGAATAATGAGGTCCATCCGGCTGAGTGTTGTTCAGCTTCAGCAGCCTTTACTGCATCAGAAACAGCTCGGCTTCAGCTGCAGGAAATAAAGCTGAAAAAGAGAATATAAGTCCCTGATGAATACACGTCTGTAGAGATGAATTATAATAGTCAGCCTGCCGTGACCTTAACACACACACACACCCTCAGAGTTATCGGCCTCCTGTCAGAGAAGCCCGTCCATTCGTCTTTTCCTGCCGCCGTTCTCCAAATTAATTAAGCAGAAATGTAAACATTTTAATTGAATGTCAAAGCAGGACCTTAACAACATGCTCCTATGTAAATGAATGTGGCTCAGCGTTAACCGCAGCCGGGTTACAGGGTGTGTGTGTGTTCTTTGGCTGCAGAGAGCAAATGTTTTCACTGAATTAACGTCACTTCTGCTCCAACCAACCCTCATGGATTTAAACCAATAAAGCTTCAATTAACCTGCAGTGAAAGAAAGAAAGTCTGTGAAGTTCCTCCTAACGGCCTCAGGCCGCATGAATCACCTGCAAACTACCCCTGCTCACCCAGTCAGGATTTCTGTTAGTTTGTTAGATGGAGAAAATCAAAAAGGAATCTGCAGGAATTGTGAACCATCCTTCTTCCCATAGATGCTTCTGTGGAGAAACTTAAATCCTGGAAGGATGTAAATCCAGACAAATGGGCTGAAGCAGAACAGCGAGTCTGAGAAACAAGCTTCCTGATGGGTTTACAGTTTATGATGCGGAGTTCAACCATGAAGGGTAGAAAAAAACAGGCTGGACATGAGAGAAACAGGCTGAGCCCAGGAGAAAAACAGGCTGAAAACTGATGAAAAAAAGGCTGAGAACAGGTGAGAAACAGGCTGAGTACAGGGGAAAAACAGGCTGAGAACAGGTGAAAAAAAGGTTGAGAACAAGTGAAAAACAGTGAGAACAGGTGAAAACTACGCTGAGCACAGGGGAAAAAAGGCTGACAACAGGTGAAAAACAGTGAGAACAGGTGAAACCTAGACTGAGCACAGGGGAAAAACAGGCTGAGAACAGGTGAAAAACAGTGAGAACAGGTGAAAACTAGACTGAGCACAGGGGAAAAACAGGCTGAGAACAGGTGAAAAACAGACTGAGAACAGGTGAAAACTAGACTGAG